GTCCAACATGGGGCAATTCCTGATGGAGGGGGCAGCCTGCAGCATGTTTTGGCTCAGGAAGAGCTTCTTCAGGGAGCTGAGGGAGATGTCTACGGCACGGAGGCGGTTGCAGCTCATGTCCAGCATTTCTAGACTGGGAGGCAGAGGTGTGAGGACTTCATCCAAGCCAGTGTCGGACAAGTTAAAAATCCGGAGGGACACAGGCCACTGGCAGGAGGGGGCTGGTCTGCCACGAGCTTGTTCTGGCTGAGATCTAGGCGCTGGAGCCCACGCAGCAGCCGCACGCTTTCGCACACGCTGTGGTAGGATGTCAGGTTGTTGCGTTGCAGACTCAGTACCTGGAGCTGAGGAAAAGCCCCCTGGCAGAAGGCAGGCATCAAGCTCTCATCCCCAAGGCCATTTTGGGCCATGTCCAGGGAGCGCAGAGCTCTGAACTCCCTTCCGATGCCACAGGGCAGGCTGGTGACACGGGAGCCAGTGACAGCCAGCTCCCGCAGCGTCCCCAGCCAGCTGCTCAGACTAGAGAAGTCTCTCTCGCGGCCCGTCAGCGGGGCAGATGTCACGTTGTGGAAGTGCAGGGACAATATGGGCAAGTCCTGGCCGGCCATTTCATTCCAGTTGCCTCTCCCCTCAAAAACGCAGCTCTCAAACACCAGCTCCTGTACCTGGGTGTAGGAGAAGAACCTCAGGACTCGGGCGAGGAGTATCTCAGGCACCAGGAGATCACCAAAAATTATTTTCCTGATGACAAGGGAGTCCAGCATTTTAATGGTGGAGGAGTCCAGGTCGCTGATGGGGAAGGCTACGTATCTCTGCAGCTCTCCTCCCCGAAACTCCACGACAGAGGCTGCAAGGCACTGGATGACGCTGCTTACAGTTTCCTCAGTCAGGTTGTAGCACACACAGTGCTCCTCAGTGCGATTGAAGAAACACCTGCCTTCTGCCTCCAACAGCCCCAGCCCCAGGAGAACAGCCACGTTCATGGTGAACAACTTATAAACGAGGAGAGCAACAGTGAAAGGCAGCGCTCTGGCGGCAGCTCAGGGGACGGTTCAGATCCAGCTGACCGGAGGGCTGCCTTGGGCAGGTTCCGTCCCGGAGAGCCACCCCTCAGGGACGCAGCGCTGCCCTCATCCCTCCTGCCCAACTGCCCTTCATGCGGGTCCAGCGCACCCCGTCGGCACCCGCCCGGCTACTGAGCTGTGACTCAGGGCAAAGCTCAGATCACCAGCAAAACACCCAAGAGCTACACTTGCACCACCCACTCCTCAGCAGTTTGTTGGTGGCACTGGTCTCACCTCACCCCAAAAGCAGGGCTTCAGCAAAGCAGCGTGGCTCCTCCTGAGGCGGCAGCCGCTGGGCTCTGCGCTTTCCTGCCTGGGCTGTCCCGCTGCGGGCTCCCTTTCCTAAGCAACCAGGACATCCCACGGATCAGGAGAAAATAGGAACATTGAGTGACGGACAGTGAAGCCAGACACAGCAGGCTGATCGCCGGACGGGAGAGCCGCAGCTCTATTTATTCCTCTGTGTGGCACACTCTGTAATCTGGAGCAGGAAATTGCAACAGATGGGTTTGTATTTTCCTTTTTCACACCCAGCGATTTGATTAATTATTACCAGCTCCCAAGGGGGTGGTAGAAAATAATTTCTGAGGGTCTGTGTTCATCCCTGTCAGCACCAAGCATTGCCTTGCTGTCCGGCTCACAGGAGAGGCTTATGAACAGGTCGCAAAAAACCAGCAAGCTGAGATTAAAGGCTCCTAAGCGCGCGCTGACTCAGCTCTGTCCGAGCATGCGGGCAGGGCGGTGGCAAGAAGTCTTCGGGGGTCTCCAGTCCAACCTCCTGCTTCGAGCCGGTCTCTTGCCGGCACTAGCCCTGATCAGCCACAGCTTTTTCTGGCTGCGTCTCGAAAATCTCCGAGGACGGAGCTCTCCTGCCTCTCTGTGTGCCGCGGGGCTGCACCACCCTCCTGGGGAGAAGCACTTGCGCGAAGCCCCCCTCACCGGGGCACAGCTCGGAGTAGGGGTGGGTTTGTCCAGTGACTCACCAGCCAGCGCACGCCGAAATGCTTCCTTGCCCCGCCGTCGCTTCCTCTAGCTCCTGCCAAATCCAGGGCTATCGGTGTCAAAGGCTCTGCAAGTGTTCCGCTCTCTCCTGCGCCCAGTCCTCCCCCGCCTCCAGCCCGATGGGACCTCGGTGCCTGCAAGTGTCTCCCAGCTGCCGTCGGTGCTTCCGCGGCCCGTCCCGCCTGCGCCCAGGC